TCCATCCCCAGCATCACAAAACAAACACATATGTAAACTCTGTCTGGCGGTGACCAAAGAGAGGGTTGTGAGGAAGGCCACTAGTGGGACCTGCAGGGTTCCAGCCTCAGTCTCCTTCTTGGCGCTGAACAAAGTGTCTCCAAGGCAGCGCACCGCCTCCGCAAGCATGCGTCCCCAGGGCCGCCAGCAGGCTTGCCAGACATTGCGCACAGTCTCCATCAGATGTCCAGCAGACCCTCCAATTCTAGCCGGCCACAGATGAACTCTACATCTGCGCCCTGCACACAGCAGATACCAAGGAAATGTTGCCAGCTGGACTTCAGTCCAACTCCACCATGAACTCATGATCTGGATTTTTGGGTTTGGGTTTAGGTCTTCCTAGAGATTAATCAACTCTCTTGTACCCAGAAGTTTCAAAAATTCTTAAGGCTTTCTGAAGAGAAATCTAGTGTTCCTACCCCTATCTTCTTTTATTTTAGTTGAAAAGTAACTGCATGCTCTAAGCTCGTACTATAACACAACACAAGCAGGAGTCTTTGGCCCCATTCCATAGCTAAGCAAACCAAGGCCCAGAGCATAGAAATGGGCTTAGAAAGCCCAGAAGAACCAACTTTTCTCTGTGCCCCTGCCCTGCCTGGAGACCCTCAGTGACCCACTGCAGCCAGCATGGCCTGTGTCCTCACTCCAGCGACTGTTCTGGTCTTGTTACCAAGGGACACTTTCCCATGTGCTCTGGCTCTGAGTGGTAGCTTTGTTGCCATGGTAATGCATCAGCATGGTGTGTGTGTGTGTGTGTGTGTGTGTGTGTGTGTGTGTGTGTTAAATTTGGGAGGCCCTGCTGGATGCAGAAGTGGGGTTCTAATTGGTTTAATGGTTGCTAGGTTCAACAGGCTTATGATTGGCTGACTCTGTTTATGTGACTCCCCTGTCCTGGAACCTTCTGGGGATGCAGCTGTTGCCCTACTGAAGTCCAGACTGGTCGTGAATGGGATGTGCGTGTTTGTGTAAACACATGCACGAGTGCACACATGCCTGTACATTTAACCCAAATGATGAAGAGAAGCTGTACAGCTTGGTACAGTCATAGGGCAGAGAATACTGGGCTATCTGCTGGAATCACATGGGAAACAAATAAATGCTATTTTTCTTCCAATTATACCCAGTCTGCATAAATCACTGGAAAACAATGGCCTGGGGTTAGCCAGAGGAGTAAGCACTGGCCTGTCCGGCTAAGTTCTGCACACTGACTCATACCCCTTGAACCAACAGAGCTGCAGTGGGTCGGTCCATCCTCTAGTCTCTCCTGCCAAGGACATACGTGCTCTTGGGTGAGCTCCTCTGTTCTGACTTGGTTTCCCACTTAGCATGTCTTCACTTGACTTCTCGAACCCTGAGAAGGGCCCTTGGCCAAACACTAATGACCTCACACCCATGCAATGGCTTTACAGTTTACAAAGCACTGGCATAACCACAGTCACATCTAATTCTCACATCCTGGGAGGTGGGCGGACATTCATGCTCTTCCCATCTGGCTGAAGAGGAAAACTAAGGCCCAGATAAACAAGTGACTCCCGCATTTTAGGGGCAGAATCGGGTCCCATGCCTGCTTGGGCGCGGGGAGGGCCAAAGGATAGAAAGGCTACAGCTGTGTGCAGTAGGGGGGCTCTCTGCTGGCCCAGGTCTTCTTGCTTGGGTGCTGCGACTCATGGGGGGAAAGTGGGGCAGGCCTGAATTTGGGTTTCCAGAAGCTGGCTATTCAAATGCACTGCCCACGCAGTCTGAGAGGGAGAGCGGTTTCCAGCTTCCCCACTCAGCCTGCAGGCACCCAGGGAAGCTTGTCCTGTCTGCATCGCAGTAGCATGTCATCACAGCAAGGAGAGAAAAGACCAGCAAGAGCTGGCTGGCGGCTGCTGGAGTCCCCACTGCCATGCCACACAGGCCTGCCAGGGTCACACTGCCACACCGTGAGAGCACCACCAACAGAGGGAAGGAAGGGGGCTGCTCGGCCCACAGAGGAGGGACCCCAGAAGCCAGAGAGAGCAGAAACCCCAGCCCCGAGTCTCTGGTCTGACCCTCTGGGAGGAGGGAGTTAATGTCCACAGAGGAGGAAAGAGCAGAGAGCATTGATTGGATGCCAAGTTTACATCTCAGCGAAACCTCACAGCAGCCCCAGGAGAGGGGGACTGTTACCATCCCTGGGTTACAGGCAGGAAGCAAGACCGAGATGGAACTGGGCAAGGTCGCAGGGTTCCTGTGGCCTTAAAGCCCCAGTCTCCATCAGTGGGAGAGCTGGGCCTGCTGAGATGGCCCCAAGGACCCTGGCGTGGGAGGAGGCTGGCGACACCAGAGGTCTGGAGGGAAGTTTTGCAAGGGCACTGGCAGGGAGCGAAGCAGGAGGGTGACCTGAAGCACACACTCACAGCCCACTGGCGTCCAAGACACGCATGTGCACGAGCACGCGGGCGCCCTCTCCACTGCTAATCCTGCCCACGCGATGCCCTCACTCTCACCTGGTCCCCCTCCTCCCTGCCTCAGTGGGGGCCCTTGCTGGGGCTCCACACAGACACCCATCTACCGCCCATCTGCTTCCCTGACCCTGACAAGCAAGATTCAAAATGGACCTTTTCTGAGATCCTCACATGCAATTCCATGCCCGGGGTGGGGCTGTGTGACGGTTTCTGAGCAGGTGGCTGTTGCCTCTCCTCTGGGAAGTTGTTTCTGGGCCTCCCCAGTCTGTGTTAAAGGTTTGGCCCCACCCTGTGGCACTATTAGGAGATGTGGGAAACTGTAATAAGAACTGGTGAGAAGTCTCTAAGACACTGCAGGTGTAACCTTGGTGGGGGATAGTGGGACCCCAGGCCTTTCTCTCCCTTTTACTTCCTAGCCATAAGGTGAACATCTTTAATGTGCCTCACATCCCTGCTATGATGTATACTGAGCTGCTAAAGCCCAAAGGCAATGGCACCAGTTGATCATGAACTGTAACTTCCAAAGCTGTGAGCCAAAACACACTCCCCTGCTGTCTTTTTCTCTCTTGGCCTGCTGGTGATTGAATCCAGGGTTTTGCACTGAGTTACTCCCCCAGCCTTTTTTCATTTTTAATTTTGAGACAGAGTCTTGCTAAGTCACTAAGTTGCACAGGCTGAGCTCAAACTTGCAATCCTCCTGTTTCAACCTACCATAGTACTGGGATTTGGAGCATGTGCCACCATGCCTGGTTAACCTCATTTCTTTACAAGTTGATTATTTGTTATAGTAACACCAAGCTGACTAACACAAGCATCTTGTTTACTTCCCTTCCTCACTAAACCATAATCTCCTAGAGAATAGGGACTGGATTTTATTAATCTTTTGTATCCAGAGGTCTGGGTATTACCTGGCATATGAGAGATGTTCAGAAGGTGTTTGTTGAGACCTCTTGACCTCATCCCCCTGGCTACTTGAAACTCTGCCCTTTGGTCCCATTCTCTCTAATCCTGTAGTAAACACAGTTTCTTAGTCACAGACCTGCCTCCTTTGCCGCCTGCCCCTCCATGCATGGCCTCCTGTTCCCCGGTAACACCACACACAAGGATTACGGAGCGGTTCCCACAGTGTGGAGACTCAGATCCAGACACTTTGCAGCCCTTTAACACTCTGCAGCTTCATCTTTATAAACTGCTCATACCCAGGAAATCTGCATGCTCTCAGAGAGAAATGGGGAGTCCTTTGTGAGGTACTCCTGCCAATGACTCACAGGTCAGTCTCATGCATAGGCCCCATGTCTCCCTTCTTTCACCTATCTCCAGCTGAGAGCAGATCTCAGGCTGACCAGAGTCTCCTAGAAAGGAACTGTCCTATTCTCAACGTCTGTCTCCCCAGGCACAGGGCTGGGGCAGAAGCACATGTACACCATGACCTGCCCAGCCAGCACAGGACAGAGGACGCAGGCCCTGGGAGGAAGCAGGCCAGAGGGGCCCAGACAAGAACACTGTTCTTCAAGTCAATCCAACTTTTGTTTCTTTTTGACCCCTGAAGTCAGATGGTGTGGGTAAGAATGGCCACTGACCTGGGTTCTAATCATGACTCATTAACTCCTTGTGGGATTTTGGACCAGTTCAATCTTCCGGGCCTCAGTTTCCCCTTCTGTAAAATAGGAGCTGACTAGCACTATTCTGTAAAGCAGTTGCTTCTTCTCCTCCTCCTCCCCTCCCTCCTCCTCCTTCAGCATGGGAGATTGAATCCAGGGCCTTCAAACTGAGCTACAATGGTAGTCTTTTTAAAACTTGGTTTTGAGATAGGGTCTTGCTAAACCATCTAAACTGGGCCCAAATTTGTAATCTTCCTGCCTCAGCCTCCCAGAGCCTTGGGATCTCAGGTGGGTGCTACCATCCCCAGCTTTGCAGAGCTTCTTGGATAACTCCCAGTGGCTTGTGGATTTGATACTTAGAAGATACTGACCCATCAGGGTGGGAGGTGGGCATGCTGGCCAGGGCTCATTCAGGCCCTAGAGAGGTGGTGCTGACCAGGTCAGAAGCTTGGAAGGTTAAGTGACAAGTCCCTCTAGACAGGTAGAAGGAGAGTCCCCTGGGCTACTGTTGTCAAGAAAAACAAAACCTAGGGCGCTAGGTGCCAGGTGGAGGACCGGACACTTAGAGATGGGTGCTCTGGGATCCAGCCCTGGGGCCCTAGTGCCCGGTCTAGGGTGATTCAGCCCACCAGCCTCATCCGCTAGTTAAGGTCCCAAGGCCAGCACCCCCGCGCCCTGCCAGCCTTAGAAAGGAAACCGGAAGAGGCACTTGGACCCAGTATCTCAGAGTGGGAGAAAGGGGTGGGCACCCGGACAGAGGGAGCCCTGGGGATTGGCAGCTGCTGTGGGCAGGGCGGGGGGTTGGGGAGGAGTCAACTTGTACACGTGAAAAACTCCGGCGAGGGCCGGGCTTTTCCCTTCCACCTCCTCCTCCTCGCCCCCACCTCCTCCACCTCCTCACTTTCTCCTCCCCCCTCCCTTCCCCTCCCCTTTCCTCCTCTTCCTCCTCCTCCTCCTCCTCCTCCTCCTCCAGCTCAGGTTGCAGCTTCTCTCGGGAGCCGCTCACCTTTCTAAAGAGAAGGAAGCGGCCCGGAGCCCGGCAGGGACCCCAGCGGGGCGTAGGGCGCAGGGCGCAGAGCGGAGGGCGCGGGGCTTAGGGCACGGCGCTCAGCCGCCGGGGCGCCGGGCCG